AAATAAATAAATAAAAATAATAATTTCATTGCCAAGTACTCAGGAGACAGACCCAAGTAGATCTCTGTGAGTTTGAGACCAATCAACTGGGTGTACATAGCAAGTTCCAGGCCAGCCAGGGCTATATAGTAAGACCATGTCTCAAAATAATAATTACAATAATTAATAATTTTTCATGAAAGGGGGGAATATAGCTCAGTGACATAACACTTGCTTAGCAAGCATGAGGCCTTGGGTTCAATTCCCAGTACCACAAATAATAATACATGAAACAAAGTTTCTTGGTATGGAATTTTTCCACTGTGGTATCAGCATTCCGAAGGCTACAGGTTTGGAGTATTTCAGATTTTGAATTGTCAAATTAGGAATGCCCAACCAACCTATAATACCATAGACTTGATGGCTAATTATAATAAATTACTAAAATCTTATGATTCAGCCAGGCACTATATATACTAAGTGCTTTATGAACATTACCTTACTTAATCTTTTAATAACCCTTGTCCCCATCTTAAATATGGAAAAAGAAGGCTTTACAATATTAAGTAACTTACACACAGTCACATTTTTAATTATGTTTCAGAGCTTGGATTGAATGCAGGTCTAAATCCAAAGCCTCTGTCTACACTGAGTTGTCATGAACACAACATGCTTTTTCCTTTTTAGATTATGGGGTTTTTTTGTTTTTGTTTGTTTGAGATTGCTTTTTAAAAACTACCAAGGTAATACTACATGCATAAAGTAAAAGTTGTAACTATTTGGAAGGGTTCACAGTGAAAGCAGCACCCCTGACATTCCTGTTTATCAGTGTACTTTCTTGCAGACAAAATACTGGTTTATAAGTATCTTTTCAGAAATATTCAGGGTCTTGTATTTATACATATCCATAAAGACACTGTAATGGAGGAATTAGTTTCAGTGTTCCCCTGATGAACATCATTCCACTATTACAAATTTTGGATTTAGATTAAATTAGTATAAAATTTCCATTGTAAAAATGTTACTTTTTCTTGGGATAAGTTACCAAAGTTATAGATTTGACTTTTTATGAAATAAATATTCTAAAAATATATATAAACACACCACATACCATTCAGTGCATACCTACCTACATCTATAGTCATTACCATTCATAACAAAGTTTCTAAAGATGAAAATGGTATTGACTCACCACAGAGCTGGACACTGAGGCATTAACCAACGATGCATCAGCAGCACTTGAAGATGGGGCTTTATTCAATGTGGCATCACCATCCCTTTGGGAACAACATGTAGCTTCCTGCTTAACACTGCTGCTATTGATCCTAGCAGATGCTCCACTTACAGAGGAAAATTTGGATAAACAAGTGGTACCAGGCTGTTCTTGTACACTGTTTTGCTTTGCAGATGAGTAACTTACATCATCTTCCCAGGAGCAAATAGTAGCAGCAAGGTCAGCCAGACGGCCCCTTCTCCCAACTGGGGTGGCTGAGGCATTTGAAAGCAGTGGCTTGGGAGAGGAGGCAGCCTTTTCCTCAGATGGTGATGGTGAGTCTTCCGATACATTATCTAAAAAGGTTTTCAACAAAATAAAAAGCCACATTCAAGAGTTATACATAGTAGCATGATTGCTCCATGAGATTAATAGAATTAAGAACCAGTAAAGAAAAAAAGAGCATAAAAATCTCCTGCATTCACAAAATACAAAGTTATTTAAATCCATCCATCTTTTCCAATCAAATGACATTTAATACAAACTAAACATCTACTTTCAGTTTTTTGGTCAATTGGCTGTTCTAAGATACCATTAATTCAGTAGATAAAGTTATTGCTACTCAAGCATGAGAAACAGCTTGAATTCTAAGAACCCATGCAAAACTGCGCATGGTAGTGTATACACCTTTGCCACACACACATTATACACAAATCAAATCAAAACATTTAAAGATACCATTATATTTAGATTATGCTTTTAGATTTAATTCATAATGCTATAATACTAAACAATTTAAGACTACATATCCTAGGCCCAGCATAGTAGCGCACGCCTTTAATCCCAGCGCTTGGAAAGCAGAGGCAGGCAGATCTCTGGAAGTTCAAGGCCAGCCTGGTCTACCTAGCGAGTTCCAGGTCAGCTGGGGCTACAGGGAGACCCTGTCTCAAAAAGACCCCCCACCCCCCAAAAAAACTACATATACAGGAATATTTGTTTCAAAAATGAACACGACTGATGCTGTATAATGAAAAGTTCTAGAATAATGGAGATATCCTACACCTATACTGTTCAACACAGTAACCATTAGCCACATGTGCTACAGTAACAGAGAAACTAAACCTTATTTTAATTAACTATAAGGGTTAAATACAAAGGGTTAGTGTCTGGAGGGCACAGGGTTAAACAAATCAATCAAATATCTCCCTGCAGTTTCTTCATTTGGAGATCAATCTCAACTAGTGATACTTACCTGGAGGATCTAGGTCTGTATGCTTACAGAGCATGTATAGAAAGATTTGTGGGACTTCCTACTCCACAAATTCAGTTAAGAGAAAAGGTGCCCTCCTTCTATCCAAGGCTTCTACCACTACTTGAATTTTCAGTTCTACCTCTCTAAAACCTTGGGGATATTGTTCCAAATAATTCTTCCTCTCTATAAACCCTTTTCTGCACATAAGCATGCTCAAGTACCATTTAACCTAAAAATAAAAAAGGGCTGGTGAGATGGCTCAGTGGATAAAGAAGCTTGCTGCCAACTTGAATCTGATTCCCCTGACATGCTGGAAGGAGAACTGAATTCCTGCAAATTGTCCTCTGACGTCCACATTCAGGACATGGCACATACAAAGTCAAATACACACAAACAAATAAACAAATGAATAAATACAAAAATGTTAAGTAATAAAAAATACAAACAAGCATCCTCTTCTCAGCATTCAGTCTGATTAGCTGTTGCCTTTCCCTATACAATATTCCTTAAGATTAAACTCCTCTCCCTAAACCAGTGCTCTGAAGTTAGTTTTGCTACTGTCACTGGTTGCTAGTACATACTGTTCAAGTCTTATATTTCTCAACATTTCTAAAATATATCATTCTTTTTCCATATACAGCATTATTCTATCCCAGCTTTTTTTTCTGTATGGCTTGTCCTTCAGTCTTCTGTCAGTTACCTCCACTTGGCTCTCCACAAGCATCCCAAATCTCAAATCCAGTCAAAATTTTCCTAACCATATTCTTCTTGCTCTTAGTAATGTCATCACCAACTACCCTGTCACCGGGGCCATAAATCTGGCCTCTTCCTTCTTCCTCATCATCTACCATCCAGTCACTAACAACTATAAACTTTTTCCTAAATCTCTCAATCCTGCTTCTCTTCACCTCCATAAGCCTTCATCATGATGCACTATGTTACAGCATTAGCCTTCTAAACAGTATTCCTACTTCAACCCTCTACCATGTCTGTGTAACAAAACACCAGCTCTCACATAATGTTCATGTTATCTACTACTATGTTTTTGTTTATTTCTGTGAGAAGAAAGATCTCATTTTGTAGCCCAGACAGACCTCAAACTCATAGCAATCCTCCTGTCTCAGCTTCTTGCATATTGGAATTACAGGCATGAGCCACAATAACTGGTCCTCTGTGCTTTTCACACATTGTTTATCTGTCTAGATTATCTCCATTATCTAAAGCCAGTCATCCTTCAAAGTCCAGTTTACTGAACTTTGTGACTTCCAGAAGTTTCCCTGACCACCACCCTGCAACACCTTTTCATATACCACCATCATTTTCCTTAGAATCAGAACCATCTCTAAGCAGATTCAGTTTTACTGTAATGTTTTATGAATGAGTTTAATAGACCCCTGGCTCTTCTATTTTCTGTCAGAAAGAAAGCTGAAAGGCTTCAGATAATTTATATTTAGTATAAGTTCTCAAACAGTTATTGACTTATTCCCATAGGCTTGTATTACATTTTATATTAAGTATTCATTAGAAAACACTTAATTCAGTGGGGCATGGTGATACATGCCTTTAATCGCTGCACTTGGGAGGGAGAGGCAGGCGGATCTCTGTGAGATGGAGGCCAGCCTGGTCTATAGAGCAAGTGCCAGGTCAAGTGGGGCTAAAGAGAGACCCTATCTCAAACAATTAATAAATTTCCTTTCTTAAAATCAAAGAGGCGTGAAAATACATTCACTGGTTACAGAACATATAGAAATCAATCTAGAACTTAGTGGAACATCCTCCCTACTAGCTAGCTTTCATAGTGCTAGACAGGCTACTGGGGAAAAAAGACATCAATGGTCTTACCCAGTTCTGCATCCTGCATGCTACAACACCAATCTGCCAGGCAAGATTGTGTCCACTGGTATAATAGTGGCATGGCTGTTATGGAGATAAACCATAACTGATTGGATTTGAGGTCTGCTCCACCAGAAAGAATTCAAACCTGATATTGTAAACCTGGTTAATGGTTGGGGAGGTCACAGGTCTAGAGAGGAATCTACTACTATTGTTTTGCTAAATGTATTATGTTGCTAAACTGCTAAATTTTTTGTTTGTTTGCCTGCATGTATGTAAGTACACCCATGTCATGCAATGCCCACAGTGGTCAGAAGAGCATCAGGTCCCCTGGAATTAAAGTTACAGACCTGGGTTGTTAGTTGTCATGTGGGTGCTGGGAACCAAACCCAGGTCCTCTGCAAGAGCAGTCTGTGCTCTTAACCATTAAGCCGCTTTCCAGCCTCCCAAACTGCTTTCTAAGTATCTGTGTTTGTACCCATATGTTAATGTTGCTCTCAAACTAGTCAGAAAAGCTTATTTTTGCAGTGAATAGTAATGCAGACTCAAAACTGGTCAACAAGGTGAGATTAAGTGACTGCTGAATGGTCAACCCTTAATGGGACAGCTATTTTAAGCCCCCCATCCAAGGCTCAGGGAACATCAGAAAAGAGTGGGTAGAATGAATCTAAGATCCAGAAGATGGGAAGAGTCTGAAATGTTGTCTTCTGGATGTGACGTGGGCTTTGCACTCATGAACTCAGAGCAGCTGTGGTTACCTACGCAACAGTAAGCCAGTCAACACTCCAACACGGATTGGGGAGGAACTCAAGAGGCCCCACCCCTAGCTGAGGATCTGATGGCAGGTGATGGCTGCTGGGGAAGGGAGAGTCAATTTCTTCTGGGCTATGGCCCCTGGTAGTGTGCCCATGCTCCAGGGGCTGGCCCACACACATGCACATGCAGACAACATTAATTGGACTCAGTGAGTTACAGTTGGGAGGGGAATGTGGACTGGGGGTTGAAAGGAGGGAGATGGGAAAGTAGTAGATAGAACCAAGGTATTTGTATAGAGAATGAAATTGTCAAAGAATAAAAATATTTAAAATATTTTAATATAATAGTTAAAATTTAAAAAAAAAAATCAAAGAGGATGCCAGTACAGGTGCCAACGTGTCCATAAATCCCACACTTGGGAGGGACACGGGAGTATCAGGAGCTCATTCTCAGCTACATAGCAAGTTTGAGACCAGTCTGCACTAAAAGAGACATTGTCTCAAAAAAAAGAATAAGTCAGGCATAGTGGCACATGCTTTTAATCCCAAGATTGAGGCCAGCATGGTCTACGTAGCAAGTTCCAGGCCAGCTGGGGCTAAGGGAGACTCTCAGAAAACAAAAAAACAAAAAAGAAAGAAAAATGGGGTAGAGGGGAAAAAATCTTAAACTTTCTGTTGTCCAATACTTACCAAAATTTCAATTAGGTAATCCCAGCACTTGGGAGGCAAAGGCTGGTCTACACAGTGAGATTTCAGGCCAGGCAACACTATACAGTAAGACCTAGTCTCAAAAAACTGTTTTCCAGTTAAAAGAAAAAAAAAAAAAAAAAAAAGCATAGTACTGAGGGACTGGAGAGATGGCTCAGTGTAAGAATGCTTGCTGCACAATCATGAGGACTAGAGTTCAGATCCCAGCACTCATGTTACAAGTTGGGTGTCCCACAAACCCCTACAACTCCAGCTCCAAGGATCCAGTACTTTCTTCTGGCCTCCGCATGGGGACAGACACACACCAGCACAAACGTGCATACATTGAAGATATATACACACAGACACACATATGAATCTTTTTCTAAAATGCAATCTATCAGTTCCTTCAGATTGCTTCATCTATTTTGGCTATGTATCCAAATCAAAGAGCTTTATAAACTATAGACAAAAGCACACCCTATGCTTCTGCCAGAGTCTAATCCCAAATTTTTCCTTTCTATATTTTCTCTTCACTTTGGTTTCTTTTTCTTTTCTTTCTTTCTTTCTTTTTTAATGATATGGCTAGTTCTAAATCATGTAGACATTTCTGGGTTTTTTTTTTTACTCACAAGTCAGAACATAAACAAAATTGATTATGACAAAAACAGCACTGGTACATAACCATTGACTTACTTGTGTGTAAGGTGATGATTCAGTCACTTCTTGTTTCCAAAACTGTAGCATAAAAACATGCTTTACAGGAGCTCAATATATCGAGAAGGGGTTGTTGTTTTGTTTTGACATTTCTTTTTTCTACCCTACTAAATAGCATTGCATACCCTAGTCTCTCATTTATTTAGTAAGTGAATCCATGAAATGTTATTTCCTGAATATAGCACTGAGGGTCAGCATTTTTCCACTGAACAGAAAGCAATTCAGTTATTAGGTCAAGCTTTTATGAACCAGTTCAAGAAGCTCATCATCATCTACCTAAATGAGAATGTCTTCTTCTTATGTTTTTATGAATATATATTGTTGGTATACAAATCATTCTCAAATACTTTGGATATAAATAAAACAAAAGCACTTTCCTTTCACAAGTACACTGATAAATTTTTCATACCAAAGTGTATTCCCCCTCCATTTTTTGGGAACAGGGTCTTGCTATGTAATACTCCAGGCTGGCCTCAAACTTACAATCTTCCTGCATCAGACACCCAAGAGCTTGGATCAAAGGTATGTGCCACTATATCTAGCTCCAAACTGAATCTTACCTAAAGACATTTATGGACCATCCCACCAATATGATTTATACCTGCTACATCGTTATCCCAGTGGCGCCGTTGTTCTGCAAGTTTCTGCATACGTGTTTTAACTGAGGAAGTGGCTGTTGCTTCCAACCTTGAGTTCAGCCCTCTGCCCCGGCTGAGCAATGATGCTGGGGCAGTCACAGCATCACTGACAGTAGTTGGTGCTGATGACTGCACCTGAGGAGACACAGGTCTTGGAGAAGATTTTGCAGTAGCTGACTCATTTGGCTGTTTATTTTCCAAGTCAGAAACTTCTACTGCAGTTTTGTCAGAACAGCGTTTTTTTGATGGTGAAGGTTTTGTGCAAGATTTCTCTAGATTCAAAAGAAATAAAAAACATTCAAAATTCTGTAATTTTCACAGCATGAAAACTTGAAGTACTTAAATTAACAAAGCATCAAGTTTCTCTAATACTTTAGCTGATTTTGTTATAAGAAAAAAGTTTACAGTTCCACTTTCTTCCATTAACTTTGAAATATGGCATGAAAAACTTCAGGTAAACTGTAATTTATAGCTTAAAAACCTTGATGAAAAGAAATTTACATTTTCAAGATGTATACATAATTCTTTTTGTAGTCTTAATATAAGAAATAGGGGCTGGACAGATGGCTCAGGGGTTAAGAGCAGTGACTGCTCTTGCAAAGGACCCAGGAACTCCCAGCATCTACATGGCAACTAACAACCACCAGTAACTCCAGTTCTAGGGGATCTGACGCCTTCTTCTGACCTCCTCAGGCACTGCACAACACAGGTGTACTTACATACATGTAGGTATAACACTCATACATATAAAATAATAAATTTTTTAGAAAGATAGAAAATAAAAAGTGCATCAAACAGAATAACCAAGTACTGCAAAGCATTTTCAAGGTCACATCACCTCATCAGATAAGATTAAAAAAAAAAAAAAACCAACCCTAGAGTAGTTACCTACTTAAAGTCAGACAGCTGAGTTTAAGGGTTGAACACAGGTTTTCTGTTTGTTTTTTAATAAGTTTTCATAGACAATAACTAAAATAAAGTAGAAGGGCACCTGGCTTGAAGTTTAGAAGAGAAGCAAGCAGGCACTGAACAAGCAAATGAATTATCTGGTCAATACCAAACAAAATCAGTACAAATAGTTAACATTTTACAATTTAAACTTCTTTTTTTTTGGGGGGGGGTGTCTTTTTGAGACAGGGTCTCCCAGTAGCCCCAGCTGTCCTGGAACTTACTATGTAGACCAGGCTGGCCTTGAACTCACAGATTCACCTGCCTCTGCCTCCCAAGTGCTGGGATTAAAGGCGTGCGCCACCACGCCCGGCCCTACAATTTAAACTTCTATGAACACCTATAAAATAAGTGAAAAAGTCCTAAAGGAGCTATTCAAACACAAGGCATTATTACTTCTACTCAAAAATGAGTCTCAGCGGGGTGTTGTGGCACATACCTTTAATCCCAGCACTTGGGAGGCAGAGGCAGGTGGATCTCTGTGAGTTCAAGGCCAGCCTGGTCTACATAGTGAGTTCCATCCAGGTCAGCTGGGGCTACAGGGAGACCCCGTCTCAAAAAAGACCAAAAAAAAAGTCTCAACGTACCTTTTGGAAAATTAATTTTGTGCATGTGTATATTTGGGTGGTATGTGCATACATGTGTTCACATGTGTGAGCACTATGTGTGCAGGTACACCTGCGTGTGCATGCGCATGGAGCAGTGAGAGATTGACATGGGTGTCTTCCTCAGTTGCTCTCTACCTTATCACCTTACACACTGAGATAGGATCTCTGGCTTCTTGAACTCAGAGCTAACCAATTCAGCTAGTCTAGATAGTGAGTTTGTCCTGGGGACCGTGTCTCTGCCTCTTGAGCCCTTGCCATGCCCGTCCCGCATTTACACGGGTATTAGGAATCCAAACTCCAGTCCTCACACTTGTGTACAGAGACAGAATTGAAGATGTAGTTCAGTGGAAAAGCACTTGCCTAGCATGTGTGAGGCCCTGGATTCAATCCCCACTACCAACCAACCAATAAATAAATAAACAAATAAATAAATGTAATTTTTTTTAAGTTTCAAGCATTTACAAGTCTTTTTGTTGCCTTGTTCAACCCAGAGCTACCATTTGAATTAGCAGTCAGCTATTTTGGCACTGCTAAGGTAAAATATATCACACTATTGACAATACACTATTACGGTACCCCTTTATTATTCTTCCTTTAGTTTTAAGGATAACTGGAATTGAAAAAAAATAAAGTTCAATTGACTTGAAATATTTGTTAAGCTGGGTATGGTTAAGCACACCTGTAACCCCAGCACCTTTCAGATGGAAGCAAGGGATCAGGAGTACAAGACCAACCTCAACTACATAGTGAGATTGAGGCCAGTCTGGGCTTCATGAGACTGACATAAAAACTTTTAAAGTAAGAAAATAGAAAAGGAAATGTATGATAAAAGAAACTGCTCCATCCTGACAGATTATATACCTAATACAGCAACCCTAAAATTGAACACAGGTGGGGCTGGAGAGATGGCTCAGCAGTTAAGAACATTGACTGCTCTTACAGAGGACCTGGGTTCAATTCCCAGCACCCACATGGCGGCTAACAACCATCTGTAACTGCAGTTCCAAGGGAATCCAACACCTTCTAACCTCTGTGGGCATTGCACCACATGGGTACACTTACACACATGCAGGCAATACACTCATACACATAAAAAGGCCAAAATAATGAATAAAATATTTTTAAAAAAATGAACAGAGGGCTGCTCCTGACCCAGAGGCTGCTGCATTTCCCCCCGAAGACTTTGGTTCATCTACATGCATAATTATTTGTTTGGGGCTTATGTCCTCCAAAAAAATATGCATTTTACTTCTCCCCACAAAGTCTCTTACCTTCTCCACTTGAAAGTGGCTGCTGATTACTTGCTTCTGAAAGTGGCTCTCTGGTTCGCTTAGCATGTGGTGCGGACCTCACTGCTGCTGTGGGCCGCTCAGCCATTTTTCTCTGAAGATTCTCTCGTCTGGCACGGGTTCGTTCAAGCAGTTTCTGTATTATATCAGAGTGTTAAAATACAAGGCTAGCCAAAGGTTTACAAAACCTCAGGTGTCCTCTAAAATCCTGTTACGTAGGACAATAGTCAAATATACTTCATAGGTAAAATCCCAAGCAATTGGACCAAGATTGCACCTCAACGTCAAAATTACTATAATATTCAGCATGAATAGTGATGAGCAATAAAATATGTACGTAAAAGTTTTACTGAATTTTTGCTATTTTCATACAATATAATTGGATGGTCTTTAGATCCCTTCACCTATAGCCACCTGCCTTTATTGCCCTCCACCCTATTTAATGTACCTATTACATATATAATAAGGCCTACAGAATCTAATTTGTGACCTCAAATGTCATTCAGTGTGGGTCCATCCACTGAGCCTGGCTAACCTACCAAGACTCCCATGCTTGAAAGAGACTAACTGCCCCTCCCTGCAGCCATTCGTGGCCACAATTTCCTTAGATAGAGTTGGAGCATCTTACCCACTTCCTCATGTCTATGTTGGGGTTTTTTTCAGAATTGAGTTTGCATGGTAGTTGTGTATACTCTCACTGTTGCTGTATATGAGTAACTGACCAGCTCTCTGGAAGATATTAATTCCTGCATGTTTTCTGCACCACTGAAAGATAAAATCTGGGACTTAGGTAATGAATCAGTCAGTCAAGTGCCTGCCATGCAAGCTGAAGACCTGAGTTCAGAGCCCCCAGTACCCATGTAAAAGTCAAGCATGATCTATAATCCCAGCCCTGGGAAAGAGCAGGGACAGGAGGATTCCTGAAGCTTGCTGGCCAGTCAGTCTAGTCAATTAGTAAACTCTAGGCTGGGTGAAAGACTCAGTCTCAAAACCTAAGGTGGATGGGATAGAGAGATGGCTCAGTGAATTCAGATCCTAGCACCTAGCTCAGAACTGCCTGGAACTCCAGCTCCAGGGGAGCCAACACCCTCTTTTGGCCTCTGCAGGTACATGAGCTCACATACATACACCCACAGACAAACACACATACATACATATAATTTAAAAAATAAAAAATGGGGGTTGGAGAGATGGCTCAATGATTAAGAGCATTGACTGCTCTGCTCTTGCAAGAGGACCTGGGTTCAATTCCCAGCACCCACATGGTGGTTAACAATCATCCAAAACTCTAGCTCTAGGAGACCCAACACCCTCTTCTGACCTCTCTGGGCACTGCACAACACAGGTGCACTTACATACATACAGGCACTACACTCATACACATAAAAATAAATAATAAAGAAAAAAATAGTCTTTTTTTTTTTTTTTTTAAATGTAAGGGAGGCCAGGTGTGGTGGCACACACCTTTAATCCAGCACTTGGGAGGCAAAGGCAGGCAGCTCTGTGAGTTTGAGGCCAGCTTGGTCTACATAGCAAGTTCCAGGCCAGCTGGGGTTACAGGGAGACGCTGTCTCAAAAAGACCAAAAAAAAAAAAGCCTGAAGATGACTCAGCAGTTAAAAGCACTTGCTGCTCTTGCAGAGAACCTGGGTTTGGTTTCCAGCATACACTTGGCGCCTAACAACAATCCCTAACTCCAGTTCCAGGGGATCCAATGTCCTCTTCTGACCTCCAGGGGCACTGCACACATGGGTGCACTTACATACATGCAGGCAAAACACTCATCCAAATAAAATTAAAAATGAGTAGTGGTTTTTTTTTGGTTTTGGTTTTTTTTTTTTTTTTTTTTTGCTTTCAATCAAGTATGGTAGGCCACTCTTTAAAATTTTATTATGTCTATGAGTGCATTGCCTGCATGTATGTAAGTGCACCCATGTAGTGCAATGCCCATGGAGGTCAGAAGGCGCTGGATCCCCTTGAACTAGAGCTACAGATGGATGGTTGTTAGCTGCCACGTGGGTGCTGGGATTTGGACCTGGGTTCTCTTCAAGAGCAGCTAGAGCTCTTTAACCACTGAGCCAACTCTCCAGCATTGGTAGCCCACTCTTATAATCCCAGCACTCAGAAGTCAGAAGGCTGAGGTAAAAGGAGGCAGAAGAAAGATCATGAGTTGGAGGCCAGCTATAGAGCTAGTTCAATCTAGCCTGGCTATATAACAAGATCCTGCCTCAAAGACTGAAAAAAAAAAAAAAAAAAAAAGACTAAATATTACAAAGCAGTTCTCTGCATTAGGAATATTTTCTAACCTAAAGTTCATTGAAAGAAGTGGCACTAAATCCATTTATAACGTATGATCATTTCCTCTGCAATAAAACATCACTTCACAAAAACTAAACTAGCCGTTACATCCATTCATGGTCATGCCCACATTCCATTCTTCTCAGTTGAATGCTTGTGAGTCAGTGGAGTTTCAGTTACCATGAGCAATGGTTCACTACAGAAGAATGTGGTTTTGCCATTCAAACACATACAAGTGTTCTATTGTTTACATTGAATTCAAAACTCCCAGATGTTAAAATAAAAAATATTCTAAGGTGTAAAATAAAGCTTTTAAGTGCCAAAGTTTCTTAATTGAAGAGTAATATCAAAATTACATAAACCTAACTACTCAGTGAACATAAGCAGACCTTCCTTATATCGTGAATTTTAAAATTCTTTTAAATATATTTCCCTTCAAAAAAAATAAAAATCAGCCAGGCATGACAGCACACACCTGTAGTCCCAGCACTTGGGAGGCAGAGGCAGGCAGATCTCTGTGCGTTCAACGCCAGCTTGGTCTACACAGTGAGTTCCAGGAGAGCTGGGGCTACAGGGAGACCCTGCCTCAAAAAGACAAAAAAAAAAAAAATCACACCTTCAGGAACCACAAGGTGTGAAAGGGAAAGTAGAGTTGGGAAGAGGGAAGAATTAGAATAAAGTATAATGCCACTTATGTATGAAAATGATGTAATGAAGCACATTACTCTGTACACTAACTTAATTTTTTTTCAATTCACAACTTCAACAGGGTGTGGTAATGTATACGTATAATCCAAGTATTCTGGAGATGGAGGCAGGAGGATCAGGAAGTCAATGCCAGCCTCAGCTACATGGCAAGTTGTATAACAAGTTGATGGCCAGCCTGGGATAAAGGAGACTGAAATGGGTAGCAACAGGGGAGATGTAACTCAGCTCAGAGGTAACAAAGCCCTAGGTTCAATCCCTAATGCCCAAGACAAAACAAAATAAAAACTGTAAAATAATTTGCACTTAATATGTCCTATTCAGCAAGATGTTATTAGATTTGTTTGATGTTGGGGTGAATATCTCTGAATAGGAAAAATCAGTGCATTTACAAGGTGACTCAGCTCTGAAGAAACTAGAGATCAGCTTGCAAACTGGAGATCAAATCTGAGTTCACGAGGCAGAGAAGGCAGGGAAAGTGAGAATGTGCAGACAACATCATGACAGCAGGGAGATAAAGGCCTGAAGAGAAGACTGTTTACCATGGCCCTGGCATGTCTCAACAGGAATAATCAAGAGAATTAGGCCTAATGTCCTGGCACTGATGCTATCATGTTAACTTCTTTTCTATGTTTTTGATGACACTGGTAACTAATCACCTTGGGAGAAGTGAGAAAAATAATCTCTCAGATAATTTCCTGTGTTTCATGGTATTTGAGCAGGACCCTGGTTGAGAAAGTCATTTTATTCTGACATCCAGTCCTTTGTGGACAAGAAACTTTATCAGAATTTCGTTTTACAGTGAAAAACTGTTAGGAATGCTATCATAAAGCAGCTAGTGGTTGGAACTAATTCAACTAATATCCTCATTACCAATTAAGGAAAAGATGTCAAAGCTGTTATCCCAACTGCAACAGATCTAGCTTTCTATAATATAAACTACCATTAGGCCATGCACATTTCTAAAGACATTCTAAAATGATCCAAACAGGAAGTTTCTTCAGAGATTTGTACTAGCTTCAAAATGACATTTTAAAGTAAAATAAAGTACAAATTTTCAACCAACTTTCAAAGTGTTTTGCTCCTGTCAGTTACTAAGGAAAACATAACAGTTTTAAGTAATTTTATTCTTTTGGCAACATAAAATAGCCTTTAAGATATCAATGTAATTTAAAATTGTGATGATTTTACTGGCTTGCAAATTTCAAAAACAAATGTGTTTTCGAAAAAATATTCAAGCTCACACAGGGAAACACACATACACATAAATTTATTTTTAATTTCAATGTAAGTGATTAAGATATTTGGTGCATGACCAGTCCTAGTCTTGAGAGCTACTACAAATTATGTTTTAGATATTTCTATGTGAATTTTTAAGGCTACTAAACTGGCTTTCCTCAAGGTAACTGAGGACTTGAAAGGGAGAGGGGAAAAAAAGGTAATCGTCATGTTGAACCCTTTATTTGTCAAAACCTTTAATTACTGTCTTAGCTTGGGAAACTGTAACTACAGCACCCAAAATAATTTATGACTATCTTCTGCAACATTTTTCAATCTGGTGCAGACACTTTAGGCCCATTTTACAGCAACTCATAACATAAACTTAAAGTCTGCCCAACAGCTTAAAGAAAAGGGGAACTTCCCCGGGAGAAGAGTGAACAAACCAGCCACAGGCACTCGTGCTTGTGTCTATGAGCCCTTATCAAGATGCCAATACTGAAAGTAAAGGGGGCAGTATTCACAGTGCCGTCTATACTCCATCTCCAAGGAATAAAAGCCCAGGAAGACACTGTAGGATGCAATGCTACGTGAACACAAGGAGGTCTGCTTCCTTCGTGTTTGACATCACAAGCTTATAATTTCGGCTTGTCCACGCTGGGGTGGCTAGCACTGTTTCAAAGTGTCAATTCTGGGCGTGAAACTTTCAATTAGCAGAGCGATCCTGTTCAAGGAGCTCGAGACTAAAACAGCGGCTGCAGCACCTGCTGGTATGCAGTCCGGCTGTCACTGATCTGCAACCTCGGCTCCAGGCCCCGGGATCCCGGGGGTCCCTTTGCACTGGACTCCAGGCAGAGTCTTGAGTCACGGGGCAGACTCCATCTGCTATTCCAGCTTTTCCAGCAGGACCTGTTAGGTCAGGCTCCAACCCTCAGTGCACCAGCGGAAGGCAAGACGGACAACAAGGAGGGGCGGGGGCCGCCTAAGTAGCCAGGAATCCCAGGACAGTCGAGCACGCCTAGAGGCCAAGCACAGCGAGTTCGGGACCAGCCTGGACTACGGGAGGCCCTCTCCTTCCCCTCCCGCCCCGCCCCGCCCCCAAAGACAGAGCCAGAGCTTTCCTCTCAGTCTCCCCAGGAATCACCCAGTGGCTCCGAGCCCCGCCGGCGCAAGACCCCGCGGCTTCCGGCCGGCAGTGCGCTCGCTCTGCGCACGCGCCGCGCTGCCAGCCGATGGGCCGCAGGCTGACGGCCAGCCCGGCCGGGGGTAGGCAGCCGTCACGGTTCACAGCACCCGCAAAAAGCCTCACCTCGGTAAACGGGTCCATCGCCCCAGGCCTCACGTGTGGACTACGAGACGGTGGATGCGATGGTTCAAGTTCAGGAAAAGGAAAGAAGTGAATGTGGGCTCCGCGCAGCTCCTAGGGGAAAGCAGGGATCCGCCGGGCCGCTGCCTCAGAGAGCCTCCTCCGCTCGCAGCCTCCAGGCTCCGTCAGCCTGCTGCGGCCGTTCAAATTTGAATTTCAGCGCCTGGACGGCGCGCATGCGCAAAGGCCGGGCGGGGCAGGGCGGGCCGCGCTGGGCCCCAGTCCAGCTCTCCCCGACTCGGGTCATGTGGGCGGCCTCGGATGGGGCATGTCCGCGGCCGCGGTCCGGCTCAGCCTCTGCAGTGGTCCAGGAGGCTCCATCTGTTCTAATGCCCATCGGGCGGCGGAAGGGGCACGCCCGCCCCCTTGCCGCCCTCCTCTCTGGTCCGCTGGTCGGTCCGTCTTCACCCGAAGTCCCGCTTCAGGGATGGCTCTGCAAGCTTGGCCCCTCCTGAGGGGCTGCTGGGAGGGCAGAGACGGCGTCGCAGGGATGGGACTCCTGGTAGGTTGACCAGGCTCCGGTGGATGCACACACTGAAGGACATCTGGGCACCCTAACCAGACTCTATAGTATTTTGTATGCAACAGAGTTCATTAAATTGGGGGGGAGGGGGAGGGGAGGTGCAGATAGAGGAGGGGATCGAAATACCATCAAATTATGCTGTATGAAAATTGCAAAAACTTAACAGAAAAAAATTTTTAAAAGAATTAAGCTGGGCGTGGTGGGGTACATAGTCCCAGTACTTCGGAGGCAGAGGCAGGGGGATCTCTGAGATCAAGGCCAGCCAGGTCTACATAGTGAGTTCCAGGCCAGCTGGTTAGAGTTGAGGCTCTTATCTCCAAAAAACAAAACAAAACCAAAAAGTGAAATTCGTTATGTAGTTACGGATTAGATTTGTTTCTTGCAAGTCTGTGCTGGAGATTATAAAGTCATAGTTCAGGATTTGTGCATCAGAAAGTTAACACCCACATAGATTCCAGAATGATTGCCAAGTCGCCAAAACAAAACGATTACGCCAAGGTGTTCAGCATCTCTAATGTTTCTATCTTAACAGTCAGTAAGACTGTTTCACCAGTATTTTTGAGTTTCTTTTCCTCTTCCTAGGACGGTCTAGAGGCACTGGCCATGAACTACCTTGTAACACAATCATAGGCTTTCCTCCAAAACCGCCTCCCAAGAAAACTGTCAAACCCCTGGTAATAGAATTAATTGCCTTTATACTAACAATGGCCAGGAAAGCACCAGGATCTGTGTGTGTGTGTGTGTGTGTGTGTGTGTGTGTGACAGACTTCAACAGGTTGGCCCTGTGAAACCTAAAGTCCTTATCAGAATGTCTAAAAGAAAAAATACCAGCAAAGCCTACAGAGATTCTGTGTGTGCTGAATGTGCCTGTGGCAGGATCAAGCATGCTTTCCTTATTGAGCAGAACGTCTTTAAAGTGTTGAAGGCACAAGCCCAGAGTCAGTTAAGATATGAAACTTGGAGTCAGCCAGATGGCAAAACTAATGGCCTGAGTTCTATCCCTGAAACCCACACAGTGGAAAGAGAACCAAGTTCAGCAAATTGTCCTCTCATCCCCACCCCCACCCCAACACACACACACTAAATAAATGTAAAGTCAAAAGTTTTAATGGAGCTTTTCCTCATAATGCAAGATATTTTGGGGGGGGGGTCTTTTTTTTTTTTTTTTTGTCTTTTTGAGACAGGGACTCCCTGTAGCCCCAGCTGGCCTGTAACTCACTATGTAGACTAGGCTTCGAACTCACAAAGATCCGCCTGCCTCTGCCTCCCACTTGCTGGGATTAAAGGCGTGTGCCACCATGCCCAGCCATAATGCAAGATTTTTAAAAATCTATAGATTGTAATGTAATGAATTCTGGGCATGGAGTAGGAGAAACTATGGCTTCCACAAGGATCACAGGCCCTCAGGACTTAAGCAAATTGTTTAACTAGCATGTGTGTGTTTGCTAACCTTTTGAGAAGTTACTAATTCCTTTGAAAATATAAAGCTGACCTTTCATTTAGAAAACGAACATAGAATTTCATGAAGTTGATAGCCACCAGGTTAGAGGTTAGTAATCTCTGACTTAGCCTTTTTGTGTTTAGCGTACTCAGTTGTGTAACAGGAATAATCAGCCTCCTAAGTTCTCAGAGCTGTTGGGAGGAAAAACTGAAAAATGGGAAGGCAGAAATCCAAAAATATTTTTCAATAAATAATGCATTATCTAAGCATGTGATGTATGAAATTATTGAAATTTAAACCCAAACTTGCTACTTACAAGCCCAAGGGAGAGGATGCCTGAATTTTTTTTCTAGAGCTACACAGAAAAGGGGTGTGGGTATTTGGGGTGTGGTTGTGTATGACAACCTTGGGAATGAGTCATGAGTCATTGGAAATTTATGTAGCCGTTGTGCCTTCTGGCTATTACCTCTGTGAGCCTTGGTTTCCCTATAAACTACAATTTGACTCTAGTCAACAAAGATAAAGCAGTATAGCTACTCTAAGCTTGCAGTTTATCTTTCCTCACAATCCTCCTATGTCCCTGTTCTTTATCTTGATGCTGGTGGTGGTAGTAATAGCAACCACCACTACCATAGCTCCCTTGTGTGAAGCACCTGTGTTATGCCAGAAACTAAACTGCGTACTCAAGGCCCTCTCCTAGGGTGCTGCAATTGTCGCCTAACATGTCTCCTTCCATTTTTGACCCATAAAAGTTCATTATTAAGTTTATAAACTGAAATAACTTCACACTTTAAAAATTGTTGCTGGGTGTGGTGGCACATACTTATAATCTCAGCATTTGAGAGGAGGCAGAAGAATCAAGAGTTCAAGGCCAGCCCTGTCTGAAGAAGAAAAAGGAGGAGGAGAGGAGGAGGAAGAGGAGGACATAGGTGTGACTATTTAAGAAGGCAACCAAGAATCTGAAGCAGAGAAACTGAGCCTGGAAACTATTTTCCTCTTTCAAAGATCTGTTCTTTCAGACACAGGAATTAGTTGTGTCTCTTGCAGATAAAATTTATTGGATAGCCAAAGAGCCACAACAAAAAAAAAAAACAAACTGGTAGCATTAACTTTAGAAAGACATTCCAAAATAAATAGATATATTTCCAGTTAAATTTCAAAATACATTCATGCACGTTCTCGCTTAATTGACAGAATAATACAATAGAATAATTATTTGTATTTTACAGGGAGAGAAAAGGCCAAGACTTAACCAGAACACAGTGGCAAGAAAAATCAGATGCAAGTTTTCCAACCCAGGTTAACTGGCTGAAGGGTTATCTGACTGTATTCTTTTACATATTTATTATAATGAAGAAATAAGAATTCTAGAAAGTTATTATTGAACTGGGAATGATGGCACAAGGTTGAGGATGATCTCAAATTCAAGGTCAGCCTGGGCTACATAATACGTTTCAGGCCAGTCTTGGCTACATAGTAAGATCTTGGTCTCAAAAACAAACGAAAAGGTTTTTTGTACAGGTGGGTATAGTGGTAGTACATGCCTGTAATCTTGGCTACTCCAGAGACTAAGGCCAGAGGATCACAAATGTGAAACCAGCCTGGGCAACTTAGTAAGATTCTGTCTCAAGATAAAAAACAGGCTGGGAGGGCTGGGAGTGTGGATCTGTGAGCAAGTACTTGTGCAGCATGTGAGGCTCTGTGCTCAATCCCTAGTTAAAAAAAAAAAAAAAAAAAAAAAAAACCACCTACACATTACCAGTGACAGGTTGTTTATTATAATCTGTGCTGTTAGTGCCTTTTAGTATCATATAGTTTTTTTTTCCCCTTTCCTAATTTAGTCAATGAAATTTGTTTGGATTTTTGTTTTTATTTATTTATTTATTTATTTTATTTGGTCTTTTTGAGACAGGGTCTCCCTGTAGCCCCAGGTGGCCTGGAACTCACTATGTAGACCAGGCTGTCCTTGAACTCACAGAGATCTGCCTGCCTCTGCCTCCCGAGTGCTGGGACTAAAGGTGGGTGCCACCATGCCCGGCTTTTTTAACATTTATTATTTTATGTGTATAACTAAGTGTATTGCCTACATGTATGTAAGTGCACCAGTGTCATTCAGTGCCGTCAGAGGTTAGAAGAGGGTGTTGGAACAGGTGTTATAGATGGTTGTTCACTGCCATGTGGGTGCTGGGACACAGCAGTTAGTGCTCTTAACTGCTGAACCATTTCTCTAGCCCTGGATTTTTGGTTTTTGGGTTTTTTTGTTCTTGTTTTTGGGTTTTTTTTTGTTTTTGGTTTTTGTTTTGTTTTTTTGTCTTTTTGAGACAGGGTCTCCCTGTAGCCCCAGCAGCTGCCCTGGAACTTACTATGTAGACTAGGCTGGCCTCGAATTCACAAAGATCCGCTTGCCTCTGCCTCCCAAGTGCTGGGCTTAAAGGCGTGCGCCACCACGCCCGGCATGATTTTTGGTTTTTTTGAGGCAATCTTCATGTATCACATGATAGCCTCAAATTTGCTGTGAGGTTGATGATCTTGAACTCCTGATATTCCTGTTTCCACCTCCAAAGGACTGGAATTATAGGTGTGCCATTATATACATCTTATAGTTTATATATTACTTTTCATACCTCTATTTCATAAGCATATGTTCACAGAACTTAATAGTTTTATTTATTTGTGGTGTTTAGAGACAGAGTCTTATCTCACTATGCAGTCCAGGCTGGCCTGGAACTCAGAGGCCCAGGTTAGTCTTGGGCCCAGGTTAGTCTTGAATTTACAGTAATCTTCCTACTTCACCCTTCTGAGTGCTAGAATTAATAGGCATGCCCCACTATGCCCAAATAAACTTAGTTGTGTGTGTTTTTTTTTTAATGTGGGCCCACCCATATTAAAGTGAAATAGTTCTTAAATATTACAAAATAACAAAGCCATTTTTTCTTGTGGTTTTTTTGTTTGTTTGCTTGCTTGCTTGTTTATTAAGACAGTCTCACTATGCAGCCCAGAGTAGCCTAAAACTCTAAGCAATTCTGCCTCAACCTCCCAAGTACTGAGATTCCGAGTGTACACCATCATACCAGGCTAGCAATCAGTGATTCTTAAACATACACATCCTTTGAGCATCAAGGAAAAATAGCCCCTTAAATTGTATTCAAGGAAATAGAGCAAATTTATTGTACTCCGCTGACATTTGTGGTGAGCTCCATGACCTTCTGCCACTTGAAGTTCCTCCTTACCTCCTGCTTGCATGGTTCATCTGCGCTCTCATTAACCATTCCAAATGCCAGAGTTAATAAAATCCATTTCACTTCCCTCTTCCCATCTTTTCATACTCTAACAATATCCAATTATGTTAATCCAGTTTCCCCTATAACAAACTATTCCAAAATTGAGTCTTCTTTAAAAAACAATCTATTTATTGTAATTCTAGAAGCGAGGCAGTCTTAAAGTCAAGGTTCCACAATGAGTAGATGGTCTTCCTGCATGGCAGAAGCAGAGGGGCAAGAGAGAATGTGTGAGAGGTCAAGAGGTCATACTTAGAGATGTGGTATTAATTCATCAGGGTGAAGCCCCCATGCTCTCCCATTAGGCCCTGTCTCCCAACACTATTTCACAGGAGAGTTTATTTCAGTACCTGCTTTTTTGGAAGTACATTTGAACCTCAACACCAAATTTCTTCAGTCCTATCCCTAGTCTTGTCCCTCGGTCCTCAAGTTCCATTCACTAATGAATTGTCAGGAACCACAATATCCTACACACCCTGACCACGCCATTCCTCAAACCTTCCAATGATGTTGAATTCTCTCTCCTCCTCATCCACCCACATTTATTAACAGCTCTTGGACTCTAATCAATACTTTAAAATATCCCATCTCTAGCTCTTAAGCTATTTTTGTAGGGTTTATTGTTTTGAGGCAAGATCTTGCTATGTAGCTTTAGCTGGCCTGGAACTTAATATGTAGACCAGTTTGGCCTCAGACTCATGGGTGATCTTCCTGCCTCTGCCTCTTGGGTGCTGAGATTACAGGAACGTACCACCATGCCTGGTTCCCATCTCTAAGAGTTGGGGTTTTTTGCGGGGGTGGGAGCGAGGGGGCTTTTGTTCTAAGCCGCCAACCTGGCCTCCTGGTTCTAATCTTGAACCCTTACCTCGTCTTCCCTGTTGCTCACTCCTGCCACACTTACAAGTCCCTAATTTTTAATCCATCCCTCTTTCCAACTTTTGGCCAAATAAAAATGTTAGTGCTCAGATATGGTTTCTGTGTCCATATCCTAATCTTAACCTCCTACCTTATCCTTTTCTGCGAGGCCGCATGTAAAGTAGCTCAGTGGAATCCAGTCCCTTCACATAGTGGATGAGGAAACAAGGCTGCAACGGGACCAGAATTTCCAGAGCCTGCCAATGGCCCTTACCAAATATGTGACTATAATATATACCAGAGATAAATTAGCTTATAATGCCAAAAGAAGCAAGGCTTGGAGGTACAGACCTGTAATTCTATCTACTTGGAAGACTGAAGCAGGATGCTCACAAGTTCAAGGCCTGGCTGGGCTACAGTTAGTTTAGGGGAGTCTGGGCATCTTAATGAAACTGTGTCAAAATATAAAATAAAAATATGGGGGGTAGAGAGATGGCTCAGTAGTTTAGAGTGCTTCCTGCTCTTCCAGAGGACCCTAGTCTAGCTCCTAGCACCCATATCAGATAGCTCACAACTGCCTGTAACTCACGTTTGGGTATTCAGTTGTATGCCATTGATGTATGTGTCTATTTTTGTCCCAGTACCATGCTGTTTTTATGACTATATCTCTTTAATATAGTTTGAGATCTGGTATAGTAATCCCCCAAGAATTGCTCTTTGTGCTCAGAGTTGCTTTGGCTATCTGGGGTCTTTTGTGCTTCCATATGAATTTGAGGATGGTTTTTCTAATTCTAAGAAATATGTCATGGGGATTTTGATTGGAATTGCATTGGTTCTGTATATTGCTTTTGGTAGAATGGTCATTTTCACAATATTAATTCTTCTAATCCATGAGCATGGATGGTTTTTCTATCTTCTGGTGTCTTCCTTAATCTCTTTCTTTAAAGATTTAAAATTTTCACCAGGCGTGGTGGCCTTTAGTCCCAGCACTCCGGAGCAGAGGCAGATGGATCTCTGTGAGTTCAAGGCCAGCCTGGTCTCCATAGTGAATCCCAGGCCAGCTGTGGCAACAGGGAGACCCTGTCTCAAAAAGACCAAAAACAAATTTTTTTTTAATTTTCATTGTAGAAATCTTTGATGTTTTTGATCAGGTTTATCCCAAGATATTTTATTTATTTAATTTTTTTTAGGCTATTGTGAATGGGAGGGTTTCCCTGTAGTCTTTCTTCACTTACTAATTGTTATTGGTATAGAGAAAAGCTACTGATTTTTGTAGGTTAATTTTGTAACCTGCCACTTTACTGAAAGTATTAATCAGGTCTAGGAGTTTTCTGGTGGAATTTTTGGGATCTCTTAGGTACGGTATCATATCACCTGGAAAAAGGGATAATTTGACCTCTTCTTTTCCAGTTAGTACTCCTTTAATTTCCTTTTCTGTCTTATTGCTCTAGCAAGTTTCAAGCACTATATTGAAAAGGAGTGGAGATAGTGGACATCCTTGTCTGGTTCCTGATTTTAGTGGGAATGCTTCAGTTTTTCTCCATTTAGAATAATGTTGGCTGTGGATTCATTGTATATAGTTTTAATTATGTTTAGGTATGTTCCCTCCTATCCAGTTCCCTTTAGGACTTTTATCATGAATACATGAAATCTTTTTTTTTTTAAATATAAAGAAGGGACCCTTATAATCCAAGTACTTGAAAGACTGAGGCAGGAGGATCTCCACAACTTCCAGGCCAGCCTAGGATACACAGTCAGTTCCAGGCCAAGTCAATTCCAGGCCAGCCTAAATGAGACCCTGTCTCAAAAAATAAAAATAAGCCGGGTGTGGTGGCACATGCCTTTAATCCTAGCACTTGGGAGGCAGAGGCAGGCAGATCTCTGTGAGTTCGAGGCTAGCCTGGTCTATCTAGTGAGTTCCAGGACAGCTGGGGCTACAGGGATACCCTATCTAAAAGAAAAGTTTACTAATGACTTCAAGGCAACTTAGTAAGACCCAATAAATAAATAAATAAAGAGGGCTGGCAAGATGGTTCAGCAGGTAAAGTGCTTCCCAACTAGTCCTCTTTCTACATTCATGGAGTTTTTTTGTTTTTTGTTGTTGTTGTTTTTGTGAGTCAGTGAGTTTAATTAGGGTTATTTACAGGTGCATGGGCTACTTACCAG